ACGCAGCAGCAAGGAAAGAAAAAAAAAGCGAGAGGTTTTTCTTTGGGTTGTTTGAATTCTGATGTCCAACGATGGAGTCACAAAAAGGAGGAGAAAAAAATCAAGAGGGAGAAGGAAAGGGGAAGAATATCAAAAAATTTGTATTCCACGAGAAGAATAAGTGATTTGAGAAAGGAGGGATATTTTGAAGAATGATAAATACATATCATCAAATGTGTAGCAATCTTGTATTTTGAAAAAGACGATTAAAAAACATAAAAGATTGGAAGGACGCCTATTCCGTCCAAAACGTTCATTACAACTTTTTCTTGTATAAATATTATTATTATTATTTGTAACTAACTTTTGAAATTAATTTTTTAAATATTTTTTAATAGATAGATTGTAAGCTAAATCAACAATGTGCATCTCATGTGGTCAATTTAACTTAATATTTAAGATACCATTGTTGTCTAACATATGCTAGAAGACTCGAGATAAAGAGTGTAAGTGTTGATGTGTATTTCAAGGCAGGTGCCACATGTAATCTAAGACTTAGAATAAACCTCCAGTAGAAACTAACACTAACACTGACACTGATGTGGAGCTCGGTCAAATGCTCTTTAATACTTAAATTAAAACTTTGGTGTGGAAAAAATATTGTGTACCTTGTATGAGGATATCAGGTTGCCTTTCATAGGGCGAGGGATGTAGTGATGGTGGGGAATGTGAGGTCTTGACACTTCGTATGTCATACATGTCCTTGCAAGAGTGGCGTGACGACATAAAGAACGATTCCTCGACACCTGATTACTCCCTCGTAGAAAGATTGCTCCCTCGCAGAAAGTTAGTGCTAGACGATCGTAGTACTCAAGCTCATCTGTGCTCCCATCCTCCTCATTTTGAGGGATCCAAGTTTGTACCTGGGTCCACGTTCTAGATGGGAGTGGTCCACGTGGTTTCTACCCCCAAACAGTAAGCCTTTTGACTAACTAGTAACTCATGGTTGATAACTAAGTAGATAAAACATTTCTTACTGTTCTTAAAGTTTTAGGTTCAATCCCTCGTTTACACATTTATTGAACTTAAAGGAAAAAAAAAACAATTCAACGAGGCCTATGAATATTTTTTTAGGATTTTGATTACATGAAAACAACAAGAAACTAAATTGCAATATCAAAGAAAAATTACAAGATAACAATAGCATTGTCCTTTGGTTGGGGGCTGTTGCAGTGAGTAAGGACCTAGGACCTTCTGATATCACCTACTACAAGGCTTTCCCGAGAATTAAAAAATATATATATATATATAACAATAGCCTTCCCGCAATCCGTAGTTCACTCACTATGGGCTGAATTCCCGAAACAATACTCATCCTTGGAGCTCTTTAACTCCCTTTATTTTCTCAAAAGGAAATGAGTAAAAAATAAACTCCCGTGATTTATAACAACTCACCCTAACAAACTACCAACTAATTATACCATTATGTCACTACTAATATCCTATTAACATTCCCAATATATTCCCAGAGATACGGTAACGTCATTCTTCTCTAATAAAGTAGTTCCATAACTGCAAAGAGAAATTATATTATATGAGCATCCAATGGAAAACAAAAGGCCAGTTTGAAATAGTTGAACTGTTAAGAAAAATTAATTACCCTATTTTTCCTACAGTTAAAATGAACATTCTCTCAAACTTTTAAAGAGATATAAAATGTCACAAACCTTTCAAATGCTAAGGATTAAAGACTTTTGAAGATGGTGTCTGCTTCCCTCATGGATACATTACATTGAATGTCCTTTGGTAAGACTAATGGCTCAAGAGGTTATATTGTTCATTCTGCCAATAAAGTAGTGGTATTGTTGATTAATTGCCAGCAGAGACATGATAAAGATAAAGAATGCATCAGGGAGAAAATGGTAAAAAACAAGTCTAATTCTTCACTTTTCAAATGTATAACACATAAAAAATTTCAATTGCAAGCCGGATAAGAGAGACATTTCTCTTGCAACATAAAAAGGCAAAATAGTGAAGAAGGAAAGAGAGCGTAGGAGGAATAAATTTGGAGCAAATCAACAAAATGAGAGGAGAAATCATCATTCTAGTTTAAGGGTGAGTTTTAGATGATATTTGACAGAGTACTTCTAAGCAAAAGCACTTCTTCTACGAGCACTTTGGAAGAAGTGTTCTTTCTAAAATCACTTTATTTTTTTTTTTGGATAAAGAGAGAAACACAAAAACAGCCTATGGGACAGGGGACGAGAAGACCCCCTCCAAAAAGGAACTAACGAATCAACGCTCTCCAATCTTGAAGGATCATGGAGAGGTTGTAGTTACAAAAGAATTTCGTATTCATATGGCACCACCAAGAGGCTGTAATATGTAGACTATTACAAAAAGAATCAAAAGACTTGGACTTATCATCAAAAGAGCGAATATTCCTTCCCATCCATAGGTTCCAAAGAAGCGCTCGAAAAGCACACTTCCACAAAAAATATGCCTTTCCTTTGAGATGCCCACCAGCAAAGCTTTCCATCATCCAATCCTCGACCTTTCTCGGCATACAACCAACAAACCCGAAAATCTCAAACAGAATCTGCCAATCTTTAGAAGCAAACGTACAATGTAGAAACAAGTGATCTAAAGATTCTGCTTCCCTTAGACAAAGGCAACACACGGACTGGGAAATAGACCAATTTGGGCATTTCTTCTGAAGTCTCTCGGAAGTGTTTAGAGCTCGGTAAGCTAAAGACCAAAGAAAAACCTTCACCTTCTTCGGAATAGAGTCTTTCCAAATAAAATTGATTAGGGGGGCTTGTAGCTTTGGGGAGTCGGTGTCCATTTGCTTCAACAAAGCTGATTTCGTTGTGAACTAACCATCCCCCTCAGGGTGCCAGACCATCTTATCTGGTTCTCTGCCAAGGACAAAAGAGTCCAGCCTCTGTACTAACTTCACCCAACTCTCCATTTCTCAATCAAAAAGACCCCTTCTCAACGCTAGGTCCCAGGTCTGGTTCTCCTCATTCCAACAATCTTTGACATAAGCATTCTGTTTTAAGGAAAGAGCAAACATATCCGGGAATTCATCCAGAAGAGGCAAATTTCCAGCCCATTTGTCCATCCAAAAACTTAACCGGTCACCTTGATTTGCTTTGAACACAACCATTTCTTGAAAAGCAGAGAGATTTTTGGCTATATCGAACCAAGGTCTACCTTTTGCCTTTCCTTTGGGAGCTTTTGTCAACCACCCATATTTGTCGACTCCATAAATACTAGCAATCACTCTCCTCCAGAGAGCATTTTCCTCCCGAGTAAAATGCCACAACCACTTCATAAGCAGGGCATTGTTTTTTGGGGGGAAAGCCCCAATGCCTAAGCCCCCAAGCTTCATCGGAAGGGAAGAAATATCCCACTTCACTAAGTTCTTACACCCGTGAGAGGTAGCTCCACTCCAAAATAAGTCCCTCACAATTTTATTCATCTCCTTCGTAATGCTCACCGGTGCCCTTAAAAGAGAAAAATAGAAAATAGGAAGACTATTCAAAATAGATTGGGCCAAGTCAGTCTTACCCCTTTGGACAAGAGTAATTTTCTCCATTTCTCTAAATTGAATTTGAACTTCTCCACCAGATGTCTCCAAAACACAATCACTCTATGGTTCCCTCCAAGAGGAAGACCCAAATAACGAAACGACATTCGCTCAACCCGACACCCAATTTTGTCTACCTTGGAAGTGGCTTCATTTTCCCCAATATTGATGCCTATCAGAGAAGTCTTGGCCAAGTTTATACGGAGACCCGAGCCTTTAATGAACAAGGAGATAAGAGCCCACCACCTATCCAGATTACCTTTGTATGCCGGGCAAAAGATAATTGTATCATCAGCGTACCGTAGGTGTGACACCACAATCCTTTCTCGACCTACAGCAAAACCCTGAATGATTCTCCTCTCACAACAAAAATTAACAAGCCGACTGAAGGAGTCTCCAATCAAGGTGAAGAGGAAAGGGGATAAGGGGTCCCCTTGTCTCAAACCACGAGTAGCAAAAATTTTCCCCCTAGGCCTCCCATTGATGAAAACAGAGAAATTTGCTGAGGAAACACACCCTTTAATCCACATCCTCCATCTCTTACCAAAACCCTTCTGCAACAACACAACATCTAGAAAGCACCAATCAACCATGTCGTAGGCTTTTTCATAGTCAATTTTAATTAAATAACCCCTCTTCTTCATACTTACAAAGTCCCCAACTGCCTCGGCCGCAATAAGCATAGCATCTAAAATTTGTCTTCCTTCCACAAAAGCAACTTTAGCATCATCAATAATGACCCGAAGAACCCTCTTTAGCCTTTCCGCCAGCACCTTAGCACTAATCTTGTAGAGAGACGTTACTAAACTGATGGGTCTGAAATCTTTGACTTTGTGAGTTTATGAGTTTCTAAAATCTTTGACTTTCTAAAATCACTTTATTGAAATATGGGTCTGAAATCTTTGACTTTCTAAAATCACTTTATGAGTTTCTAGAGATTTCAAAATCACTTTAGATTATCAAATCAAACCCTATAAAACTTTTGAAATGTACTTTTGACGGACTAAAAGAACTTTTTATCCTTTCAAGAATCATCCTAAACGTCTAAGGAAAAAAAAACAAGGAGATGAGATATTAAAGTATGTGCCTATCAATTGAGCGGTCTAACTGGTAAAGCATTAGTAATCCCCCATCCTATGATTGCAAGTTCGAGTCAAATGTAATATTCTAAAAAGACAGAAAGTTATTTCAGCGATACACCGTCTACTGAAATAAAAGTTTAATATTGTAGTCATTGGAAATACATAAGAGTATATTGACTGAGGCATGCAGTGTTGAGCTACAAAGCATGCATTTATTTGAAGTTATGTGCCGCACATTACGTATCACAGAAGAAACTCTATATGCAATAAAACTTCAACAATTCAACAGCAAAGAGAAAAAGGAGCAAAATATTATTATCTTCTATGTTGTCCCTTGGGGATGCCCTAGAAATGGGAGGTACTGCTGATTTATAAAAAAAAAAAGAAAAAAATAATCCCAGAAACCAGTTGATGAGTACTAATCAGCACCTTGATCCTTTTGGATAAAATAGATTTCACTCCCTTCTTTTTTATCTCCTTGCAAAAAGACATGCAATAAATGGGGAGGTTGGTGGGAGTAGTGTGCCCTCATTTGGAGAGAGTAAATCCTCCCAAAAAGGAGAAAGAACAAAGGGTTGCCATCAAAGGGAAGCTCCAAAAAAAGAAAAGGCAAATTTAGATCACAAATGCCACTAGAAGGGAAAAAAAAAACAGACCTGTAACAGAGGGCAGGAAATTAACTTAGTTGTCCCTTCCCTACTTGCCATAAAATGCCTGTGATGTAATATAGCTGCAAATACAAATGTAGTGGATATGAATAACAGGAAACTTGCTGCTAAAAGGAAGCAGTAATAAGAAGATACAAATAAACAGTCCACCAGATGAGAACAACCCAAATATGATTTCAACAGACTTCTAATGTGATCCTATATCTAACAAATAAAGAAAAAAACACTTAATAGGCTCATTGAACTTAACTTCTCCATCTCTCTCTTGATTTCATGGTTTAAATATCGAAATATAAGAAAGAGCCAATCACAAATCATCTCTAAAACCAAGAAAATCACAAACTTTCTATTAAAAAGATAATCAATAACGTTTGTACGGTTCCAAGCCATTAAATTGGTTTACTGCCATCAACTCGAATATTTGCAGCCGCTGTCCTTGGAGTGGTATTTCTAGACATTGGAATTCAGTCAATTCTTTGGTACATTTTAAAGTAGGCAATGGTCAAAGTGTATCATTCTGGCATTCTACTTGGGTTGATAAAGAGCCTTTGAAGTCTGTTTTTCCTAGAATTTTTATACTTTCTATCAATCCTAATGGTGTGGTATCAAGCTTTTGGGATTCAAATACTAGTTCATGGAATTAAGTGTTGCGAAAAGCTTTGAAAGAGGAAGAAGTGGAGGAATTTTCTACATTATTATCAGCTCTAAATCTGCTGTCCATTTCAGATACAATAGATAGTAGATTTTGGAGTCTTGAACCTTCTGGTTTGTTTACAGTTGCTTCACTAAGAAGATTTGGTTCAAATGCATCGATGCCCAAGGAATTCTTTGCTGCTTTATGGAAACCAAGAGCCCAAAAAGGGTTAATGTGTTTTGCTAGATTCTCTCTCAAGGAAAGTTGAATACGGCTGATATTGTTCAGAAGAAATCTCCTTCTGCTGCCCTACTTCCCTCTTTTTGTTGCCTTTGTACAAAGAGTGGGGAGGATCATGACCATCTATTTTTTCATTGCTACTATGCCTCTAAGTGTTGGAATCTGTTATTCCATCAATTCAATGTGCATTGGTGTTTTGGTCTCAAGACCAGGGACAATGTTTATCAGCTTTTACATGGGCCTCAGTTTGGTTTTTATGGTTAAATGTTGTCAAAGCCTTATTATCAGAATTGTGGTTCGAGAGGAATTCAAGATTATTTGAAGAAAAACGAAGGCTTTACGACGAAAGTTTCTATTCAGCTAAGTTTAAAGCTTCACTTTGGTGTTCTCTTGTCGACTCTTTTACGCATCACTCTCCTTCTATGATTTATGCTAATTGGGGAGCTTTTATTAATTATGTGTAATTCTGTTATTTACATTTTTATTTTTCTTTTTTCACTCTTTCGGGAGTTTGTATCCTTGAACACTTGTATTATCTTTGAAATAAAGTTTGTATCCTTGAACACTTGTATTATCTTTTCACTATTTCAATGAAAAATTGTATCTTTGTTCAAAAAAAAAAAAATAACGTAACAAAAAAAAATATATTTTGTAAAAAAAATCTCTTTTATTTTTATATTTAAAAAATAATTGTTTACAGGAAAGAATGAAATAGTTGGGCAATATTTCAAACCAAAATGATAAAGGTGTCTTCCTTCTTGATCATCAATCTTAGTTACCCGTGATTGCAAAGATCTCAGAAACCACCTGAAATCCCTTTGTTACTAGTTCTTTTTGCAGACCGGAGAAAAGGGAAAAGAAACTGCATCCAAGCCGTAAAATTTCAAAAGCCAACCAGAACGCCGAGAAGATGTACACTTTAATTGTTATATGAAGTCTGAACTGATAACCCTCGTAACAATGAACTAGTCAGCTAACCATAAAGCAGATAAAGGATTTTCTCTTATATTCCTCCATCCAGATTGCAAGGCATTGATCGCTATCGAAGATCCATCATATGGCCGATAATCACAAGGATCATATTGCTGGACGAGCTAATTTGTACTTCTCAAGATTGCAATTCGAAATTGCTACCAGTTTCAGTCTCACACCATCATAAAACCGAAATCCATTGCTAAATCTTCATATAGTATATGACCAATCTTCTTCATTTTTGTATGCAGATCATGAAGTAAGAGATGAATTTTCTCAGATTGGCAATGAGAATTGTCGCCCACTACAAATACATGTACCGCATTTCCAACTTCTATCCAACTGCAACCAGGTTGCTTCTTCAATCCCTTGTCCTTCATTTTCAACCTCACTTTAGCAGCTTCTCTCCATTTTCCAGTTGAAGCGTATATGTTGGATAACAACAAAAAGGTTCCTGCATTCTCTGGTTCTGTTTCTAAAAGTTTTTCGGCTGTTAACTTACCTAAATCGGTATTGCCATGAACATTACATCCGGCAAGAAGAGCTGCCCAAACTGATGCTGATGGCTTGGCCTCAAGCTGCTTAATGAAATCAAATGCCTCCTGGAGTCTCCCTGCTCGACCATAAAGATCAACCAAGCATGTGTAATGATCTTCCCTTAGTTTTATGGATCCATCTCTTACAAGGCCTTCGAAGTATTTCAACCCCTCATCCACAAGTCCGGCATGACTACAAGCAGAAAGCAACGCGATATAGGTTACGTTATCAGCACGAAATCTCAATGCCTGCATTTCATTGAATAAACTAATTGCTTCGTGGCCACGACCATGATGAGCATAGGCTGCAATCATCCCATTCCAAGAAACCACATCTCTGTAGCTTATAGATCCGTCATCGAATATCTTGCGAGCCATATTCAACTCCCCACATTTTGAATACATGTTTAATAAAGCTGATACCACATCTGCAATTTCTTGATATACTGTCTTACTTATTATCTGGTGAATCTGCTGTCCCTCACAAAGACCAGCTAAGTTACTACAAGCACCCAACACACTGACAAAAGTTCCTTCATTTGGTTTCACATTTTCCGCTGTTTGCATTTCTGAAAAAATCTTCAATGCTTCTTCACTTTGCCCATCTTGTACATGTCCAGAAATCATTGCTGTCCAAGAGACAACATTTTTGTTGGGCATTTTGTGGAACAAATCCACTGCCCTCTCCAGTTTACCATTTTGAATGAACCCTGCAATCATAGTGTTCCATGAAGGCAAATCCCTCTCAGGCATTTTCTCAAACAATTCAAGAGCCTCGTCCAGCTGCATATTCTGCGCGTAACCAGTAATTATTGCATTCCAGGAAACCACATTCCGGTCAGGCATTCTATCAAACACCAACCGGGCTTCATCAATCCTCCCATTTTTCGACAAACCAGCCACCATCGCTGTCCAAGAAATCACATCCCTCTCTGGCATCTGATCAAAGAGCTCCCAGGCTTCATCTACCCTCCTGCATTGCATCAATGCTGTAATCATAGTATTCCAAGAAACCACATTCCTCTCTGGCATTCTCTCAAACAAATCAAAAGCCTGATCGACCCAACCCTGTCGCACATACCCTTCAATCATGGTGTTCCACGAAATGACATTCTTAACTGGCATGGCATCAAACAAGTTTCTAGCCTCCTTAATCCGACTCAATCTTACATATCCACTAACCAATGCCGTCCAAGTAACGACATTCTTCTTAGCATCAATTCTATCAAATAGCTTCCTAGCTTCCTCAATCATTCCACATTTGATATACCCTGTAATTACAGCAGTCCATGACACCACATCTCGATCAGGCATTTCCTCGAATACCCTGCGTGCCTCTCCAATTCTTCCTTCTTTTCCAAGCTTTGTGATCAGCCAGTTAGTACGGGCAACAGTTGAATTGGCACTATAGTCCCTATCAGTAGATGAGATCTTGCGCTCGACCTGATAGGTACAAAATTGAGACCAGAACCTAGAATTACGTAGACTCGACATGACTGCCACATATCTAACAAAGTTGAAAAGAACTCCAGTTGTATCTTTAGCATAAATTGCCCCAATCGGTATTCGATACAACAAGGACATTAATAGCCAATTGCCGGGGCAGCTCTTCGTTCATTACAAAAATGTTGAAAACTATCCACCCTCAACCAGATTTTTTTCAGGGGACAGTTCGTAAAAGAGCCATGCCTAAAGTCAGAATGCTACCTTCGGCCCTTGGACTCAAGAAATTGCCCCAATATGGAACAATCACAAAGTAAATCTTCAAAGGGGTTTGATATTAGATTGAAGTAAACTACATAAAAAGAAAAAAGGAAAAAAAAAAAATCATGCCCTTATCAGAATTCACCATATTCTTAAACTAGAGATGTTCCAGAGATATTAGAAATTCAGAGCTTGATCAATCAACTTCCCAAACCAAACACAATAATCTTGAGAAACCTACACACTCCTTAGTTGGTCAATTTACTCAAGGAGCTGCTTCTAGAGGCTACGAATAACATTTACTTGGATTCATCACGTCAGAAAACTATTAACTTGGATGCAGAAAATGCCAATTAATCTGTTGTACACTAATATCAAGAGAAGGGTCGGGCAGAAGCAGAACACAGAATGAGTAATTATATGGCTAGTAACGAAATCATCACTTACCCACAAGTTGGAGACTTGGAACAACTCAGAAATAAGGTTATCAGACAGAAACTTGAAGGGTGCACATCGGTTCGGTTTAAGAAATCGAACTGAAGTTTTTGGTTCTCTGCCGGAGATCAATCGACAGAGACGGAACGGCGGCGGCGGCGGCGGCGGCTGGGAGGGACTGAGGCGAAGGATGAACGGCGAGAATGTAGTAGACAAGCTGGGTTCGAGGATTTTTTGCTATATATATGGTTCGATTCGGTTTACAACAAAATTAAACCAAGCAGAAAATTTTGGGTTTTTAAAAATAAAGAATCGAGATGTCCAATATTTACAAAATTACGGACAAAGTTTTAAAATAATCTAATTTTAAAAATAAATTACCAAAATAATGTTAGTCTAAAAATAACTACAAAATAAATGTAATTTAAATAAATAAATTCAAATGTAAGTTAGGTTTTCAAAACTATTGACAAAAATAGGTTAGGTTAAAATAAAAGTCAAAACTCGTGTATAATGCCTGCGATTTACGTGTAAACGTGTATATCTGACCTGTCAGGTGATTAAGCGGAAATCGCGTACATTGTCCGCGACTTTGACCTTTTTATTTTTTTATTTTTGGAAGTTGCGTAAATTACCTTTTATTTTTTTAATTTAATTTAATTTATATTATAATTTATATATTGTTATTTTATTAATATTGCAAAATTTAATTAAGATGTGATTAATTTTTTTTGTTTTTTATTTTAAATTTTGATTAAAATGTCATTTAAAGTCTAAAAGTTTAAAATTATATTAAAACCGATTAAAATGTCATTTAGCTTATCGTGTTTCATCTTCTTATGTTCTATAAAATAACATTTAAATTTAATATAAACTAAATCGATAAAAAATTATTAAATTAATAAAAACCTAAAAGTCAAGGTATAAATTACATGAAATCCATATGTTTTGTCATTTACATTGCGAAATATATGGCTTTAAAAATCCAAATTTTGGGATATGTATAATTAGGGTTTTGTTTGTTTTATAATTATTTTATTTTAAATTATTGCATTACAAGAATATGTCTATCATGTTGTAGGTAATTCATGAGCTATTTTTCAAATATGGAGAAAATTAAGATGATAGTCTTTTTCTTAAATTATGATTTTTAAATAAAATTAAAAAAAAGCGGATATTAGTGAGAAGTGCAGGCTTTCAACCTCTAAATTAAAAAAAAAAAAAAAAGTCACAGCCACTTCCAAATTTAACCAAAAACAAAGGGCTGCGACTTTCAAATTTAAAATAAAAATAATAATAAAGGGGCCATCGTAGAGACGTGGCTCCATTTGTACCACGTCACGAGAATTGGCAACTATTCACGATGAAATCGCAGCCGTCGTCTGCGATTTTGGGCAGATTGCAGTCTATCCCTGCGATTTATCTACCCTATTTTTGTAATTACTTTGAAACCTAGGCTAGTTTTGTCATTTTAAAAAAAATAATAATTATTTAAAAAAATCCCCAAAATTACCTTTTTATATTTTTAAAAATAAAGATGTAAAATAAATAAAAATATTTAATATAATGTTAAAATACTAGCTTGGTTTATGTACTTTCCGCTTTTGTTGATTTTGATCCCTATACTTTCAAAAGGTTAAGGATTCGAATACATGACCTCCCGCTCTGATACCATGTTAAAGATGAATAAATCACCACTCAACCCACTCAATCCAAAAGTTTAAGTTGATGGGTTGGGTAAATTTCAATACATGAATTAAATTTACCCAACCCACCAGCTTAAGCTTTTAGATTGAATGGTGGTTTATTCATTCTTGAAAGAGATCAATATGAAAATTTTCAAACAGGGACAAAAATGAACCAAATTTAAAGTATAGGGACCAAAGTGAACATTTTCAAAGTACGGGGACCAAAATGAATTGAAAGTACAATGACTAAAATAATATTTAAATCTTAATATAATTTGATTCAGTTCGTTTTTTAGTTTTCGTGTAAGCCATTAAAAAAACTAAATCAAATCGTTTGATTTGGTTTAATTCAAATCAATTAATTTGTTTATTTCAATTACTCATGCTTGTTTATTTTTTTTTTCTCTTTTAAACAATATGTTAAAGCGAAGATTTGAATCTTAGACTCGATAATAGATCCCTCCATGCTCAACTTGGCTTTCCTCGAGAAAATTTCATTTCCCATCTAATTTGTGTCATGTGTAAGTGTCTATTATCATACAAATAAACAAATAACATGTTTTCTGGTGGTATGTATATATTTAACAGTAAAAATCATCTATAAAATTCTATCTTTTCTCTCGTGTAAATTCTCTCTCTTACTAATTACTACCATCTACCTTCTTTTTTTTTTAATGGTAAATTGTTTTTAGTACTTTTAATAGTATTCTATCTCTTACTAATTACTAGATCTCATGGTATTAAATATACGTCGACATTTCCATCATAGTACGAAAAAAAAAGAAAGATAGAATATGAAAAATATTAACATAATGTCACTAATATATACACATAATATTTAATCACTTTTAACTTATTTAAAAATAGAAAAATGTTTATTTGTTAATTTAAATATTTTTTATGATTTTTAAATTTGTCTAACTTTTACAAAGATATCTATTGATATCTACATTTTATCGATATTTCCATAAAATTGAGACATTGATTGATCATAAGAAAGCCCTAGCGAAATGGATCTAAGAACTCTTATGGTTTATGTAAACCCCTAGATCACAAATGCTAAAACCCCTGAATCAAGATGATGTCAACCCAAGGAAGAAGTTCGAATGAATTTACCTTGATAATCAATATCAAGAGTAGAAAAAATTTGTTTCTAAACTCAATGTTCGAACCACTCCACAAGATAGTTTGATCAAGGCTAACTTGAATGATCCTAGCATGCAAATCTAACACTCAAGAATTGCGAAGAAAAACAAGCTCTAGACTTTTGAAGCAAAATAACAACTTTCATTCAATCATAAAAATCTTAATTTACAAGGGAACAAGCTAGATTATTTATAGCATCCAAAACAACCCTAAAAGTAACTTAAAGGCATTTGAAAGGTTGTAACTCTCAATTACATGATAGCCATAATACCCACTAGCTAAAATGTAACCTTAAATGAAATGGTTAAAACTTAAAATATAACAAAAAGAGGTTTAAATCGGATAATTGAAGTCTTAGTCATCCTTCAAAGTCTTTGTAACCTCCCAAATGTAAATGAAGCTTCACTTGAAGTAGTTCAAAGTGTAGTTCCATTAATTGATGGATGATTTTGCAATAAATGAAGCTTGAGATGCACTTAACTTCATTTAATGCAACTTGAGTTCCTTGAATCCAACATGATTTTATTGAGTGCAACTTAAGTTAAACTCCACTTCATTTAATGCAACACCTCCCTTAAGCTCTACTTGGAAGATGTTGAGTTGAAAAGCTCCATCTCCCTCTTGATCATCCCTAGTCGAGCTCACCAAGTGTTGAACATGAGAAAGTAAAGCTTGTTGAAGCTTCTTGGCTCTTGATCTCGTTATGGGTCCTTGAGGCATGACAATGGTGCTTCTATGGTTTACATCATTCTCCCCCTCTTGAGAAAGATTCGTCCTCGAATCATAGCCATCACCTACATCAAATAGACTCAAATCAGCAACATTAAAAGTTGTACCAACACCATAATCACCTGGTAAATCAATTTTATAGGCATTGTCGTTGATGCGCTCAATAACTTGAAATGGACCATCCCCTCTAGAATCGAGCTTAGAATGTCGTTGGAGGGGAAATCTCTCCTTTTGAAAGTGCACCCACACCCAATCTCCCGGGTTGAGTATAATATGCCTTCACCCCTTATTTATTTTTGAAGCAATATTGGCATTTTACTTTTCAATCCTCTTCTTGACCTCCTTGTCTAGCTTACGAACGTATCCAACTTAGCATTAGCATCAAAATTCACAAATTCAAAGGTAGCAAATCAAGAGGTGTTATAGGATTAAAGCCATAAACAATTTCCAAAGGAGTGCACTTAGTATACTATGGGCAACCCTATTGTAAGTAAATTCAACAAATGACAAACAATCCTCCCAATATTTGATATTTTTATCGATAACAATTCTAAGCATAGTAATCAATGTATTATTTACTACCTCAGTTTGACCATCCGTTTGAAGGTGACATGTAGCATAATATACTAGCTTAGTACCTAACTTTCCCCATAAGACACGCCAAAAATAGCTTAAAAATTTTACATCCCCATCACTAACAATGTTGTAAGGAATCTCATGCAGTCGAACAATCTCTCTAAAGAACAAATTGCAATGTATTTAGCATCATTAGTTTTGTGACATGGAACGAAATGAGACATTTTACTATCTATCAACAACCACAAATATACTATCTCTACGTTTCTTTGTCCTTGGTAAACCTAAGACAAAGTCCATTGATATATCCAATCAAGGAACACGGGGAATGGGCAAAGGAGAATATAAGCCATGCGACATGAAATACAATGCCTCACATACTTTATGAACGTCATATCTCATCCTAGGTCAATAAAAATGTTCAGAAAGCATGTCACATGTTTTTACTACTCCAAAATGTCCCATTAATCCTCCCTCATGAGCTTATTTAACCAGCAATTCACGAATAGAGCACTTTGGAATGCACAACTTACCTTTCTTAAAGAGAAATCCATCAAACAAGTTGTATCCATCCAAAACAATATCATTTTCAAGAGAATAAAAAATAGAACCAAAAGAAGGATCATCATGGTACAAGATTTTAATATGCTCAAATCCAAGTAGTTTAGCATTCAAAGTGTTAAAAAGAGCAAACCTTCAAGACAAAACATCAACAACTACATTCTCTTTACCTTGTTTATACTTAGAGGCCGTTTGATTCAAGGTTTTAAGGGTGGGAATGAGCTTAGGCATATAAAGCCCATGTTTGGTTGGAGGATTAAACTTTATTTCCCTGGAAAAAAATTATTCTCAGGCATCATTAATAGGCTAAATGAAAGGACAAGAAATCGCGTGAAAAAATGTGGGTTTATTGAAAACCCTCTCTTGTTTGTTGCGTAACTTTCCAGTTATTTAGTCACTTTCATTC